ATTCTCTTTTTTTGGCATGGGAAAAGCAGAGCAGGACACTGGGAGTTCAACTTGGCGTATTCCATGTAACAGTGGAAGATTCCTGGGGGAAAAAATCAGAAAATTCTCTTTTTTTGTACAGGAAAAGCAGAGCCGGACGCCGGGAGTTCAACTTGGCGTATTCCATGTGAAAATGGAAGATTCCTATGGAAAAATAGTGGAAAATTCTCTTTTTTTGTACAGGAAAAGCAGAGCCGGACGCCGGGAGTTCAACTTGGCGTATTCCATGTAACACTAAAAAATTCCTATGGAAAAAAGTGGAAAATTCTCTTTTTTTGTACAGGAAAAGCTGATCCGGACACCGGGAGTTCAACTTGGTGTATTCCATGTAACAGTGGAAGATTCCTGGGGGAAAAAATCAGAAAATTCTCTTTTTGGAAAGGTAGGAAAGGAGAACGTGGGGATAAAAAAAATCCATGGAGAGGAAGGAAAGGAGAACGTGAGGATTAAAAAATTCCATGGAGAGGAAGGAAAGGAGAATGTGGGGATTAAAAAAATCCATGGAGAGGAAGGAAAGGAGAATGTGGGGATTAAAAAATTCATGGAAAGGAAGGAAAGGAGAACATGGGGATTAAAAAATTCCATGGAGATTTAGGAAAGGAGAACGTGGGGATTAAAAAATTCCATGGAGAGGAAGGAAAGGAGAATGAAGGGATAAAAAAAAATCCATGGAGAGGAAGGAGAATGTGGGGATTAAATTATTCCATGGAGAGTAAGGAAAGGAGAACGTGGGGATAAAAAAAATCCATGGAGAGGAAGGAAAGGAGAACGTGGGGATAAAAAAAAATCCATAGAGAGGAAGGAGAATGTGGGGATTAAAATATTCCATGGAAAGGAAGGAAAGGAGAATGTGGGGATTAAAAAATTCCATGGAAAGGAAGGAAAGGAGAACGTGGGGATTAAAAAATTCCATGGAAAGGAAGGAAAGGAGAAAGTGGGGATAAAAAAAAATCCATGGAGAGGAAGGAAAGGAGAACATGGGGATTAAAATATTCCATGGAAAGGAAGGAAAGGAGAATGTGGGGATTAAAAAATTCCATGGAGATTTAGGAAAGGAGAATGTGAGGATTAAAAAATTCCATGGAAAGGAAGGAAAGGAGAACGTGGGGATTAAAAAAATCCATGGAGAGGAAGGAAAGGAGAATGTCAGGATTAAAAAATTCCATGGAAAGGTAGGAAAGGAGAACGTGGGGATTAAAAAATTCCATGGAAAGGAAGGAAAGGAGAACGTGGGGATTAAAAAATTCCATGGAAAGGAAGGAAAGGAGAANGGAAAGGAGAACGTGGGGATTAAAAAATTCCATGGAAAGGAAGGAAAGGAGAACGTGGGGATTAAAAAATTCCATGGAAAGGAAGGAAAGGAGAATGTGGGGATTAAAAAATTCCATGGAAAGGCAGGAAAGGAGAACGTGGGGATTAAAAAATTCCATGGAGAGGTTCCAGGCTCACCGTATCCCAAGACCAGGATCACCATCACGATCATCACCCACACCATGAGCCCGGCCAGGAAACGCAGCAGGACGATGAAGATGAGGCTGGCCACCATGGCCATGACGAGGCCTCTGCGGGAGGAAGGCAGGAACGTCTTACTCGCCCCCAAAAATCCCCCAAAAATCCC